AAGCCACAGATGTGGAACATTAACCTCTAATTGGCATTTTAGCCCGTGTGTGTCACCTTGTGTGTCTGTACCAAGGACAAACATTCAAGGGTATGTAAACTTATGATGATGGCCATTTGGGTGATTTCTGTTATCATTATGATTTAAAAAGGAGCCAAACAACTATTTGATAATAAATGGCTTTCATATGATCATTATCCTTCAATAAAAGAGCATCTTTTGTCATGAGTCATATTTTCAATATCAATGCCAAAATTTCACAATTTCTGCCAGGGTATGTAAACTTTTGAGCACAACTGTACATTGCAAGGATTTTAACAAACTTTGTTACAAAGTCCTGCCTTTTCTTATTCTGAAGAAAGAGCTGTTTGTCTGTGTCCATATGGAAAGTGAATCTAATGGGAGTGGTTTCATAATTATCAATTAGCTGCTGCACCTGTAGGGCTCTAATGAGGAAAATTGCAGGGTCTGCATCCCTTTAGATGTAATTTCCTATTGGGAGTATCTTACCAAAAATTTAATTTTTGTTGCTGGGGATGCCTGAATTTTGACTTGTATCTTAGTGCAGATGTCAAATCACACAAGCAGGAAATGAGGTTGCTGGGGGTGTTCTGTACACATTCTGTGTACAGAATACCTCCAGGTAGCCATATTGCATTGCATTTTAGAGAAAATTACAGCACTGCAGATTGAAAAGGAAAGGTCATTTTTAATAACATTCAATTACAAAATGACGTGTGTCACAATTGTATATGCTATATATACAGTATTTTTTTATTTGCTACTTTTTTCCCACGAAAGTGGAATTACCTGTTTATGAGATATTCGCTTAGCTGGCAGCCAGTGATGTCACAAATGCATGCACACAGAAGGAATGGCATACCTGTGCCTTTCCTTCAAAGCTCTGAGCCATGCCCATGACTCACACACGCATGCATGGAAGTGATGTTATCATGACTCAGCCATTCAGTCAGCCGCAGCCCATGAAGGAGGACCAAGTGAAGATGGAAGCCTCTGCAGTGGTGACAGTGCTCTGCCGGAGGGCTTCGTATCAAAGTAAGTCTTTCATAATGTGCTAATACAGTGAAGGAAATAAGTATTTGATCCCCTGCTGATTTTGAATGTGTGCCCACTCACAAAGAAATGATCAGTCTAAAAATCGAATGGTGGGTGTATTGTAACACTGAGAGACAGAATAGCAACAAAAAAATCCAAAAGAAATGCATGTCTAACAAATGATGCACTGATTTGCATGTTCATGAGGGAAATAAGTATTTGATCCCCTTTACAAAACATGACTTAGTACTTGGTGGCAAATCCCTTGTTGGCAATCACAGATGTCAGAAGTTTCCTGTAGTTGGCCACCAGGTTTGCACACATCTCAGGATGGACTTTAGCCCACTCCTCTTGGCAGATCGTCTCCAAGTCATTACCGTTTGGTGGCTGATGTTTGGCAACTTAAACTTTCAGCTCTCTCCACAGATTTTCAATCGGATTAAGGTCTGGAGGCTGGCTAGGCCACTCCAGCAGCTTAATGTGCTTCTTCTTGAGCCACTCCTTTGTTGCCTTGGCCGTGTGTTTTTGGGTCATTGTCATGCTGGAACATCCATCCACAACCCATTTTAAATGCTCTGGCTGAGGGAAGAAGGTTGCCACCCAAGATTTGATGGTACATTAGCCCGTCTATCGATCCTTTGATGCGACACAGTTGTCCTGTCCCCTTAGCAGAAAAACACCCCATAGCAGATGTTAAAAACTGCTGTATTTGTAAAAACATAAAATTTTTTAGAAAAGCTGCACATCTCCCAGAGATTATTACCTTCTCCTCCCTTCCCTCTCCATTGACATACATTTTCTAAGCAGCAGAGCTGACCTTGCAAGTTTATGGAGGGAGGTCAGATCACGTCTGCACATCTCACCGCCTTGTGATGTCTGCTGGCAGCCTTATAATGTCTGAAACAAAATTCAGCACAATGTCAGCAAGGGGTTTAACTGGCAGGCATTACAGCCATGTGTCAGATAATATGTTCTCCCTAATGCTTCATCACAGAACAATATGAAAATACAAAAAGTAAGATAAATCATGTATTAGATAATGATCTGTTCCATTAAGTCCTACCTTGGAGCTCTCCTCTAATACTTCATTAGGATGTTTTGCAATTAACATTGCACAATCAGATATACTGTACATTCTGAACTGTAAAATCTACCAAAGCTTTACTGATTGTTATTTATTGTCTATGCAAAACTAGAATTATAAGATCATCCAAAGGTACAATCTCACCAATTAAATCCTTTCATATCTTATCAGATAAAAGATATGTAGCTTTTATTTGAATGTGACAAATGCATTTAGTAAAGTGCATAAAATATGTAGGTGTAATGCAGTAGAAATAATATATTGTTGGTCTTTGTATAACTGAAAATATTTTGTCTTGAAGGCTCAGCAATTCCCGTTGGCATTGATGTACAGATAGAAAGTATAGACAGCATTTCAGAAGTTGATATGGTAAGTTATATAATTTTTGTTGCCTTAGGCTGCATTCAAACTTGAGCGTTTTGTAGCTTGAAGCTCAAAGCTCCAAAAAAGCTCAAACTTAAAAAATCAATTGTTCTCTATGATCAGTTCTCTACCATCAGGTGTGAACAGGCACCATAAAGAACAATTGATTTTCTAAGTTTGAATGTTTTTGGAGCTTCAAGCTTCAAGCTTCAAAACGCTCAAGTGTGAATGCAGCCTGAATGTCATAAACACTAACTTAGAAAGAATGATTGTCTTCATTACATTGAAAATCATACTGTTTGCTTCTGTTTGTTGTTGTTGTATGTTTCTATAATTACATTGTGTAAGAAAACAATATGATTTTCCTATAATGTTAGGTGTTGTGTCTCAGCAGTGTAGACAGACTGCTAACAGGTCACCATCTAATAAAGTAGTTGTAAACCCTTACATATACCCACTGAAGTAACAGGCCTCAGGTACAATGAGATTATACAAATGTTGCTACATAAGTTGGACCTGTTTACCTGTAGCCCTCTTTTCTCTACAGCCCTTCAAAGTACATCATTTACACAGCATTTCTCAGCTCCAGCAGACAAAGGGCTGGGATCTGAAGTCTCACACTGCACAGCATAGAGAGGAGAGCTCTATGTAATCTGAGACCTGAGTAGAGGGAAAGGACACATCCCCTCTACACACTGTCATAAGAAAATATGCACAGCTGATGCTTGTCAATCACCTGCTGGGATTCTGTAGTGTTGTGTTAGACTGTTAGAAGTGACTCATGCAAATAGAAGAGAGAGGAGAGATCAGAGAGAAACCACATTGGATTGAACCAAATACAACCTGTTGAGGGACATACACAAACGGACTTCCTATTCCAACTCCTTCTTATGGGAAAAATGCCATAACATTTCCTTAAAATGGCAATACACAGAAGCTAACAAATACACATCATTCCCACCCCCCTCCCGCTACACGCCCAAACTTGGTAACTGTCACGATTACCACTGTCGCAGGTGGTAAGGCATTATAGCCAGCTTCTGTGTTCTTTACCTATAGCAGCCCCCTTTTCTATAGGGTAAGCAAGCCTCAAATCCGTAGTCAAAAGGCAGGCAGAGTTCAGAGAATATTCCAAGTTCCAATATGAGGTCATAAACAGGGGAATCTTAACAGCGTAGCAGGGCAGGCAAACAGGGAGCTTGAAGCACGTGGTAAACACACTGTCTCAAGCATGAAACTGCAGGCTTGGCTGGCTTAAATCAGTTTTTGGTCTCCACCCAGAGACTGGCTACATGAATCTTGCAGGTTGACAGGCAGACAGGGAGAATATATAACAGCTAAAACCAGGAAGCTGGGATGAGACCAGCAGCTGTCATGGAACAGGAGCATTTACACACTCCTGACAATAACATTAAAAAGTACATAGTCAGTTGGGTGCCTAGGTTTTCACTTTCTAGTTCATGAGAGTGGGAGTTGTCCATGCTTCCAGATGTTTGGGCTGTGTGGTAGGGCTAAATGCATCATTCCAAGTAAGCCAATTAGGAGTAGTGTCCTGCCAAACCAAAGAATCTTGAACTCATACTAACCTGCTTTCATGCCAAGTTAATCTGTTCTCCAGCCTATAGGTTACTGGTCCCAATTGGCTGTGGATTCGTGCAGGATTAGATACTCTTTGACTTGGTTAGTGGCTTCCTTTTCCTCACCCATTGGCCAGGAATTAGGGTATTTTTCTTGGCATTTCTTTTTTCATTAAATATCCAAGATCATGCTTTCTTCAAACCTAATAAAAATAAATGTGAATATAAATGTCGAGCTGCTCGTTGGAAAGCGTAAAAAGCCTAAAAACATTCAAACAATATATACCGTGCTCCTTAAATACTGTGAATCACTGTAGTGATATTATAAATAAGTGAAATTTATTGCCTCTACAAATTGTGCAAAATAAGTAACCATGTGAAAGCTTCCATATAATTATGAACAAAAGTCCATTTTTCTATAACGCTTCATATCCGACTTCCATGCTCCCAGTGTGCAAAGATAAAGATACCCAAGAAATAACTGCTCTTCCTCTCTTCCCAAGAAGGATAACACACCACACTCAGTGAGTGAGTCTGGTGTGTTATCCTTGGAAAGAGAGAGTGTGGTGTGTTATTCTTCTTGGGAAGAGAGGGAGTGCGATGTGTCATCATTTTTGGGAAGAGAGAGAGTGTGGTGTGTTATACTTCTTGGGAAGAGAGGGAGTGCGGTGTGTTATGCTTCTTGGGAAGAGAGGGAGTACAGTGTATTATCCTTCTTGGGAAGAGAGGGAGTACAATGTGTTTTCCTTCTTGGGAAGAGAGGGAGTGTGGTGTGTTATACTTTTTGGGAAGAGAGGGAGTGCGGTGTGTTATACTTTTTGGGAAGAGAGGGAGTGTGGTGTGTTATACTTTTTGGGAAGAGAGGGAGTGCGGTGTGTTATACTTTTTGGGAAGAGAGGGAGTGCGGTGTGTTATACTACTTGGGAAGAATAGCAACCAGTCTCTAGGACCCCACATCCAGGCCTACACTCAGAATGTTCCTGTATACTTGGATGCCTCCATCCAATATCAGCCAGACCAGGGGTGGAATGACAACTCATGGGGCCCCTGGGCAATAGGGGATCATGGGGCCTCTGTGTCCTTGCCCAAACTAAAAAAAACCTATGAAAAAGGTACTAGGGGCATCTTATGGGGCCCTCTACTGACCCCGGGCCCTCGGGCAGTGCCCGAGTTTCCAAATGGTCAGTCCGCCCCTGAGCCAGACACATCTCCAGCAATTCTACAAGACAAATCCTCAGTGAATCCTTCTGATTTGGATCCAACTATCTAAATGAAATAGGCATCCCAGCTCTCAAAGAGCTGGGACTTCAAGGAACTCCTGCAGACTTCAGCCACACTGTCTAGCAGGGCAGCAGCCCTCCAGGCTGGGATCTTCTCCTCTTGAACAAGAACCCTACTGCTCCAGGCCCACACTATTAATGCACTCTTCAGCCACCTACTGGGCATCCTTCCTCCAGGGATTGGCTGATACTACATAAATATTCAGGCTAATGCTCTGCTTCTTCCAGCCCATTCCATTCTAGAATCCACTAGAAGGCAGGGGGAAGCAGTCAAGCCTGCAGCCAGTGAAACCCAGAACAGTCTGAGCCTCTCTAACAATCTATTCTAGGAGGGTGCTACTTTGGCATAAAATGTAATACTGCACAAATGCTTTTTTCGGTGTGTGCCAGGTAAAGTTACCTTACCCAACACTGAAATTTGGGTATTACTGTAGCCTGTTAGGGTAGTCAGTGCCTCTTGGACTGGGTAATAAAGAAAATGGGCATTGTAAGCTGCTCCCCATTAAGGATTGACACCTCTGGGGAGCAGGGGGGGGGAGTGGGTACCCGAATTTGAGAGGTACCCGCTCCCACTTCTGCTGCGATCGCCTAGGCGATTGGAAGCGGAAGTTGTCCTCCCTCCTTCCCCCGCCATAGTCTGCTGGGACACTTGATAGGTCCCAGAAGACTACAGGACCATTCACAAAGCGCAGCACTTCTCGTGCATGTGCAATGGGCACCCGGCTGTGAAGCCGCAAGCTGACAGGTAAGTGGCTGTAGTTTAAAAGTCAGCAGCTACAGTTTTTGTAGTTTTTGTAGCTGCTGACTTTTTTTTTTTTTTTCAGCTGGAACTCTGCTTTAAGGAACAAGGGCCTCTGTCTCTCAGGTGAGGCCCCATCCAGACCACAATGTTAGTAAGTAGATTGAAAATTGTTCATAACAGAGATGCCAGGGCACTGCAAGCTCATACAGGGTTCAAGTGTCCTCTTTGTCATTGTTGTGTCTCAGCAGTGGAGGCAGATTGTTAACAAGTCACCATCTATATTAATCACATAAACTTCCAGCTCCAATTCCTCTTACTATCTTTTAAAGCAGAAAAGGCAGAAATAGCAAAACACAAAATAAACACACAATACATAATAAACAAATTCACAACATTTACCAGTAGCAAGATTGTTTAAGGCCTGGTTCATACTAATGCAGGCAATGTGGACCGCGTTTGAACAGGCATGGCAGCCAATTAGTTTCAATGGACAGCTGTGCAGTGTGTCACGTAAGAAAATGTGCATGCACCTTTTCCAAAACGCATCACGTTGCGGGATGAGATGCGTGGGTGTGCCATTCAGAATGAATGGCCCCCCCGCATCTCGCAAAAGAAATGCAAAGCGGCTGTGGGTGGTTACGACTGCAGGAATTGCATCAATTCCTGCACAAGCAACCAGCCCGCATCATGTGGGCTAGTGTGAACCGGGGGTAAAGGATAAGTTCAGTTTTGTTTTCCAATAGTGTTTATTCGTTTTTCAGAAGAAATTACAAATCAGTACAGAGAAGATGTACATCTATCACCCCTCCCCCCCTTCATCCCGTACAAACTGCAGCCTTTTCGGGCCGGAACATGCAATGCACAAAATACAATGTTTCAATAAGAAAAATAAATCTCTGTTGATGGTAACCATAGGGATCCCTTAGGGACCTGTAGATGGAAGATGTGCAGATCCATGGAAGGGAAAGCGGAGGCGAGTTAAAACTGAAAGGGAAAAGTGAAAATAGAGATAGGGGAAGTAAAGGCAAGAAAAAAGGAAAAAACAAAGGACGCTTGTTGAAGAAGAGTCTCATCAAGGGTGAGGGTCTCACCCAGAAGAAGGGTCTCACCAACAGGCGGGTGCGGGGAGCAAGACGGTTTATATTGATCAGCATCCCATGTCTAGTATCCTCCATCCTTGGATGATGATGAAATTGCATCCAAGGTTCCCAGTTTTTTTCAAAATATACCATCCTTTCTTGAAGAATAGCAGTCAAACGTTCGTTGACCATTATCCAGGTCAACTTAGCCTTCAGAAGATCAAGGGAGACCAAGGGGGATCGCCAATTAATTTTAACCAAAACCGTATTTACATCTGAGGTGCTGTTAGGAATGTCTGGGACTTTTAAAAACAAAAGGGGCTCTATGGCGACTTAAGTGTTTATTTTTTTTTAGCATTGCTCTGTTTATCTCCTCCTCCCCTCCCTACCTGTATCTAGCACCACACCCAGGGACTAGCAGGGAGGGGAGAGACCTTGCAGTGTAATGAGCACTGATTGGCTGCTTGTCAGGAAAGGGGAGTGTCGGGCTTATCCTTTATCCCTTTTGCTGCCAGAGCCGTTTTTGCGTTTTTTGCACACGTTTAAAAAATAATGTAAGGCCTGAAGATTACACAAAACCCCCAAATATTATATTTTTTTCTGAAATCAGAGAACCTGGAGAATAAAATAGCGGTAGATCCAATTTTTTATGTCACATGATATTACCGCAAAGGTCTAGGAAAAGCAACATTTCAGTAAAAAATTCCCCAAATTAATTTTTGGCCACAAATAAAGCAATAAATTACCCTATTTTTGGTAAAGTATAAAAGATGAGGTTCCACTGAGTAAATAGATATACAACATGTCAAACCTTAAATTTGCGTGCGCTCGCAAAATGGTGACAAACTTCAGTACCCTATATTTTTTTATAGGCGACCCATTTAAAGATCCTTATAGGTCATCAATTTAGCTTTATGGAGGAGGTCCAGTTCTAGAATTATTGCTCTCATTCTGGCGTGCGCGGTGATATGTGACATGTGTATATGGGAATCTGTGAATGGAGACCTGAAACTGATGTCTGGGTCAGGATAAGAAGGGGAGGGGAGCAGACGTGTTTGCTCTTCTCCCTCCCCCCCAGATGCTGGCTAACACTGAGCCAGTCCCAGGCCCGCAGATGGGCAAGCAGAGCCCAGGACACTTGGGAGGGGGAGGTTCACACAGGGGGCCAGAGATTGGCACCGTGGGCTGGGTGGAAACAATCGGGCGGCAGCGCTGCCGCCCAAATGCTTCCACCTGACAGGTGAGCCCTGCTGCTTTCCCGCAGCAGGGCTAAAGGTTGAAAAAAGCTACCTGACCAACACCCAGAACGACATGTCCTAGGCGTCGGGCAATACAAATTCAACATCCCTGATCTGTCTACTTGTATAGGAGGTATCTACTTCAGTCCAGTAGGAATCAATGAAGGATGCTCACCAGCGCCTTTGCAGGTCATTGAGAACTACAGTGGATATAAAAAGTCTACACAACCCTGTCAAAAAGTCAGGTTTCTGTGATGTAAAAAAATGAGACAATGATACATCATTTCAGATCTTTTTCCACTTTTAATGTGACCTATAAACTGTACAACCTAATTAAAAAAACAAACTGAAATCTTTTAGGGGGGGAGTAAACATAAAAATCTAAAATAATGTGGTTGCTTAAGTGTGCACACCTTCTTATAACTGGGGATGTAGCTGTGTTCAGAATTAAACAATCACATTCAAAATCTTGTTAATAGGAGTCAGTGCGCACCTGCCATCATTTAAAGTGCCTCTGATTAACCCCAAATAAAGTTCAGCTGTTCCAGTAGGTCGTTCCTGACATTTTCTTAATCGCAAACTACAGCAAAAACCATGGTCCGCAGAGAGCTTCCAAAGCACCAGAGGGATCTCATCGTTAAAAGCTATTAGTCAGGAAAAGGGTACAAAATAATTTCCAAGGCATTAGATATACCATGGAACACAGTGAAGACAGTCATCATCAAGTGGAGAACATATGGCACAACAGTGACATTACCAAGAACTGGACGTCCCTCCAAAATTGATCAAAAGACGAGAAAAAAAACTGGTCTGGGCAGCTGCCAAGAGGCCTACAGCAACATTAATGGAGCTTAAAGAATATCTGGCAAGTACTGGCTGTGTGGTACATGTGACAAAAATCTCCATTATTCTTCATATGTCCGGGCTATGGGGTAGAGTGGTAAGACTGAAGCCTTTTCTTACAAAGAAAAACATCCAAGCCCAAAAGCATGTGGGAAAATGTGTTATGGTCTGATGAAACCAATGTTGAACTGTTTGGCCATAATTCCAAAAGATATGTTTGGCACAAAAACAACACTGCACGTCACCAAAAGAAAACCATTCCCACAGTGAAGCATGGTGGTGGCAGCATCATGCTTTGGGGCTATTTTTCTTCAGCTGGAGCTGGGTCCTTAGTCAAGGTAAAGGGAATTATGAACAGTTCCAAATACCAGTCAATAGTGACACAAAACCTTCAGGCTTCTGCTAGAAAGCTGAACATGAAGAAGAGCTTCATCTTTCAGCATGCCAACGACCCAAAGTATACATCCAAATCAACAATGGAATGGCTTCACCAGAAGGAGATTAAAGTTTTGGAATGGCCCAGCCAGAGCCCATACCTGAATCTGATTGGAAATCTATGGGGTGATCTGAAGAGGGCTGTGCACAGAAGATGCCCTCGCAATCTGACAGATTTGGAGTCTTTTGCAAGGAAGAGTGGTCAAATATTGCCAAGTCAAGCTGTGCCATGCTGATAGACTCATATCCAAAAAGACTGAGTGCTGGAATAAAATCAAAAGGTGCTTCAATAAAGTATTAGTTTAAGGGTGTGCACACTTATGCAACCATGTTATGTTAGTTGTTTAGTTTTCTTTCCCATCACCTAAAAGATTTCAGTTTGTTGTTCAACTGAGTTGTACAGTTTATAGGTCACATTAAAGGTGGAAAAAGTTCTGAAATTGTTTATCTTTGTCTCGTTCTTTTTTACATCACAGAAGCCTGACATTTTAACAGGAGTGTGTAGACTTTTTATATCCACTGTTCATATCATCAGCTGCAAAGACTGTTGGTACTTGTAGTCTATTCATTCACAGAACTCT